TTTTGTTGTTCTTTCATTTACATTTTTGTAGTAATTGTGGATTGTTTTCCTGGTTTTTGTTATTTCCTTTACATTAGTTAAGATAAGTCTGTCAGTGCTTCTCTTTATTCATCATATTCCTCATTTCTTATAACACAGTAATGTACTAGTGAATTCACGTACCACAGCTGTTTAGCAATTCCGTTAATTACCATTTACTTTATTTGCAGTTCTTCTTGTAGATTCTCTTTAAATGGCCACATTTTGTCATTTCACATGACAGATATATGATATAGTGTCAACTTGGGAACTTACAAGCTATTCAATATTTTACAATTACAGGTCAGCTACAGAACTTTTTGAAACTTATAGTATGAAGACAATGGCATTTAATCCTCCTGTTACGTCAGTTAATCCCCCAAAGAAGGTATGTTTTTCTTTGTTTCTTAAAATGATTCTCTCTCCCCCCCCCCCCCAGCTTGAGTTTTGAATTGATCATATAGGTAGAATAAAGTTAGGACGTTTTGAAGGCAGGTGATAGTGGCATGAAAGAAAGTCTCTATAGAGGGAATGATGGCCATTTCATTTCATTACAAGAGATGTTTAATGGCCAGATGAAATATAATGTAAAAGAACCATATTCTGTTCTAGATTTTAGCCAGAAGGTTGAGCTGTTGTTGGTTGATAATTAACCCTTTCCACCTCTGCCTAAAGGTTTTGGCTTTTAGGTATTTACTTGGAGTAACTTTGAGTTTGTACTATCATTTTTTTCAGGATAAAATTTTCCACGTGGACTCATATCTAAATGAAGATTTAAGCCAACTAATAACTCATTGCAATGAAACTACTATTCAGCTGCCTCTGGATTTCACCAGATACTTAAAAACCATCAGTACAGTAAATGTAAAAGGAAGCTAGCTGAAAGAAAATGATTACAGATTTGTACCTCTTGGTATCATTTATTTCAGCCTACCTTTGTGAAGGTAATCCTGAGAACTAATTTCCAAAAACTCAGTGTTGACTACTTTACCAGCTAGAGTGAGAATATGTGAGAAAGGAGAAAAGGAGATATTTTCTCAAATATTTCGTGACTCATTTGTTGGTAACTTTTGTACAGTATATATTAAATTGTAGTAGATTTTAAAGTTCCTGAATATTTCTATTTAGTGGCCTGGTTGCTGTCTGGGTAATGTTTTCCATGGGTAGAGGGAAAAAAAATGTCCTTTGGTAAAATGCCTTTTTTGCAGCCAATACTTGTTTATAACCAAACAAAACTTTTTAAAATTTCAACATTGGTATTTTTTATGAAAGATGTCTCATTGAGTCTTAATATATATTGTACCTTTTTTTTAAAGCCTTAATTCTAACAGTTTCTGAGTCCCAATGGAATAACGAAGATGTCAATCAGATTTGAGTCTGACTTGAAGCTTGAGGCATAGCTTGATCTCTGATTGACAGTCAGGCCCCCAAAATGATTGTGACAGGCTCAAATTATGGGCAGAATCTGGAGAAAACTTACTAGCACTGGCTGATCCTAGTGTAGTGGAGGGAGCACCAGACCAAGATGGAGAGAATCTGGGTTCAGACACCATTTCTAGCACTGTCCTGAACAAGATCAGTACTGAGGGGCCCTTCCAGCTCTAAATTTACGATCCTGTTAAAAAGCTGACTTCTATAGTAGGCCGTAACGTTAATTCCCAGGCCACAAAGGATCTGAATCTTCAAAAGAAGAAGCATACATTTTAAAACGTTGCTTGGAAAAATGCTCAACAACATTTCTCAAACTCACCAGATTAGCAAAAAATGTTTAAAAGCAGTGACATCCAAGAGTGGCAGGGTTGTGCAGGAGCAGGCACACAATCCATTATTGCTTGTAAAATTTCAAATTTGTAAAATTTGTTTGAAAGGCAGTCTGGGAATGTCAAAATAAAAGTTAAGTAATCAAACTCCTTGATTTACTAATTCCATTGTTAGGAATATAACCAGAAAACATTCAAATTTTTTTGTAGTGTTATGTGCAAACAGACAAACCTGGAAGCAAAATACATGTTCTATAATAGGGAAATGGCTAAATAAATTGTAGCACATTAATATGTTAAAATCTTATAATGCACTTAAGACAGACAAGAAGTATGAGGAATACAAAGAAATCTAGGAAGAAGTTGATACAAACTAGAAAAAGTAGAAACAGAAGAATGAAGCACATCCTGAACAAGACCATCGCTAAGAGTAAATTGAGTGATTTGAGATTGAATTGACTGTGATTGAGACTGAATGGACAAAGACTTCTGCAGGGATTGGAGGGCATGGTTGAAAAATTAAAATACTTTGTATTGAAAGGTAAGGAAATTGATTAAATTGACATTCAGTATTAAGTTTTTAGTAAACCATTTAATGGTTTAATATCCCACAACCTGGGTTCAAATACACCTTGGCCGAGGGACAGATGAAGAGGTGCTAATGTGTATTAGATCAGGAGGTTTTAATGGAAGACTGCTAACTCGATATGAATCAGCATTAGGACCTGGCTGGCAAAAAAGCTAACCTCATCTTGGGCAGTGTTATGAGGCAGTGTTCAAGACCAGTGGTGGTAGTGCCACTGTACTCTCTACTGGTCAGACCACAGCTAGATGTTATGTTCATTTCTCTTGGGGTTGTTCCGTCATCCACTTGTGTCTGACTCTTTGTGACCCTGTGGACCATAGTATGCCAGTGCTATCCGTGGGCTTTTCTTGGCAAAGATATTGCAGTGGTTTTGCCATTTCCTTCTTTAGTGGATTAAGGCAAATAGAGGTTAAGTGACTTGGCCAGGGTCACACAGCTAGTAAGCTAGTGTCTGAGGCCAGATTTGTTCAGTTCTAGTCCCACGTTTTAGGAGGGGTGACCAGGATGGTGACAGAACCACCATGTGATACTGTAAGAGGATCAGATGAAGAAAGTGGAGATTTTTAACTTGGAGATATTTTGTGGGCATGTGGTATTTGCCTGCAACATTTGAAGGACTGCCATGTGCAAGAGAGGTTAGATGTACTTGGACTTAGAGGGTAGACCTCAGGAGTGTAAGGGTGTAGATTATGACTTGATATGGAGCTGTCCAAAGGTGGGCTAGACTACTCAGAAATAACTAGTTTGGTCTCACTAGAAACCTTCAAGTGGTTCTGGATAATCACTTGTTGGGGAAATTGTAATGATAATTCCTTTGTCATACTATTTGGGATTTGGGATCCCTTCCCAAATGAGATTCTGTGAGACCTCATAGAGATGTGCTGAATTATTTTATTTATTTTGGATTAAGTCAAAAGAGCTTCTTTAGAAGAAATTGAAGTAAGACTTTGGGGTCACCTGTGCAATAAGATGGAGGACTGGCCATTTTCTCTGGTCCTCATAGTCTCTTAAACCTCTGCCAGACAAATTATGCATGAAAGACAAAGAAACTTCAGCTGTTTCCATGGTCTAGGACACCCAGCATCCAAAAGAAGTTAAAAAGAAACACCCCCAAAGTCCAGGTCTCTGGCCCTTAACTCGCTCAGCACTTCTTCCTCATTTCCCCCCATGCTATACCAGCAGACTCAAGGACGCAACACAGGCTTCTGTCTCAACCTGCTCCTGCACCTGGCCCCTCCCTCCCTTTTTCCATTGATGGAGTTCCAGCTCCAGGCTGGAGAAGTTTCCCTGGGCTTCAATAGCCGGCTTGGCCACAGCCTTCCAGGAGCAAAAGACTGCTGGGAGCAGAAGTGGGGGTGCACCAGTGCCAGGCAAAGTGGCCTCCGAAGTGCTGGTGCTGGGCCAAAGAATTGAGCAGCAGAGGATGTGGGACAGGACAGTGTGTGTGGGGGCCTGTGCAGCCCTCCATCAAGCCGAGAAGAGCACAGTATTCAGCTGGGGCCAGTTCTGACCGCTCAGAAGTCACCTGGAGCAGAGACCTACGCTGGTGAACCAGGAACTGCCCGATGCAGGAGGAGGCTGAGAAGCTTCCAGTCCCCAAGGAAACCACAGTCAGGGGCGGAAGTCAGAAGTAAGTGATAAGGAAATAAGGTGGGGAAAAAACTAAAAGTAACAGATTTCAGGAAGAAGAAATCTCAAAGACCTTGAATTTGTTAACAGATAAATCAGCAGGAAATGGCCGCCTATCTAAATAATGAGTTTAAATGTCTGAATAAATACCTACAACATGAAGCATAGGGAAATAAGCACTAAAGCTGGTGTCAAAGGGTCAGCCTTTTTTTTTTTTTGAAACTAGTTAATGTCTGTTTCCCACCTGTAGAATAAGGCCTCCACTTGGGATTGAGTTGATCCCTGTAATGCTTGGGGAGGTTGTCTTTGCTATCACCTTATTAGCTCTCCACAGTCTGAGTATCCAGCTGTCTGCTATTTGCACAGTTGTGTGAGCTGGTGAATCACTGACCCAGCCTCTAGCAAATGATCTATGTTGTGGAACACACATAGCTTTCTAGTTATTGGAGAGGTGGAAGCTGTGTGGGCAGCTATTTTTATTTTGGTTTTTTTTTTTAATCCTGGTTCATTGTAAATGCTTTGATGATTTGATTACAATGCATTTCCTCAAATAACTAGATTTTTTGACTTTTATGTGACATGAAAGTTAAGAAAGTAAACCATCTGCAAAAGATCCCTTGTTGCTACAGAGCCATAGGAAGGAACCAGTCCACTTCCATCCTTCTTTGAGTTTCAGATCTCATACTTCTTAGAATAATAAACATGTGAGTAATAAAATGTCAGAAGCTTCCTTATTCACTTAACCCTGTTTGGAGAATCCATGTCTGAGTTTGTTTCAGTATTTTTATGATTTATTAATATATTTTTGTTTAATTACAAAGTTTTTCAATGAGAATATCCTAATTTTGTATTAGAAATTAATGGAAAAAGAGATAGACTATATTAAAAATGTTTCATTAACGTAAAGCTTTGCATAACAGCTCATTTATAAAAGTCAATCTAAGCCCATAAGCAGTTCCATAGGAGAATAGAACATCTTGCCATATCAAATAGAGAAGAGGCCAACAGACATCACAAACCATTTATTTTTCAAACATATACATATACAATTGTACTTCAAATTGGCAGTAAACAGTTAAGGTGAAAAATCAGGTTTAAGATTTAATAGAAACTCAATGTACAGAAATTTCCAACTCTATAAAGCCTAGTGGATGCTCTTGGTGTGTGACATGTTTTGAGATGTACACCGGGAGTGCAGTGTTGTCTAACTGGTGTCACCCTGAATACTCTGTGAGCTGTCAAAATAAGGATTACAGCAAAATGATAGGTGATAACTATTAACATATTTAAGTGTAGAGAGGCTGTGTTCTGAAACCACCTTAATTGTTCTGTTCAATAAGGATTGAGCACCTGTTATGAGCATAGGCCAGTGCCTAGTACAAGGGGAAAGAGACACAATTGTAAGATCTGGCCCCTTAAGAAGCCTAAAATATTGTTGGGATGAAAACACCTTGATGTGAACCAGATAATGATGTAAAGCATTACTCTTAAGTAAAAGTGAGAAGTATGAACAAGACCTAGTGATATATTTATCTTCTAGTAGGATGTAAACCCTTTTGAGGCCAGAGACTGTGTCCTTTCACATATATAGAGGGTACTGAATTGTTTGTGAAGTTGAATCACTTCAGGTGAGAAATTATTGTAGCCTTAAGTTGTTGGGAGAGGCTTTATAGAGGAGGTCAGCCTTGAAGGATGGGTGTAGGATTGGATGGGGTGGGGGCACAGTCAACAGCTCAAGAAGATGCTGGCCTGGGGTAGAGGACTGATCATATAAATCCTACTGTTTTCCAACATGGAAATTAAAAGCTGACCTGGCATTGCATTTGAACTGCCCTAATATAACCTTGTTAAAGTCTTGTGCCATCAGGTAAGAATTATCTTGAAATAAAGGTATCCTGGAACTATCAGTAATACACTAAAAAGAGAAGTATTGAAATGGAGTACTATATACCATTTTCATTTCTGATGAGTAATTTGAGGGGAAACGTACAGTTCCTTCATCCTAGGGTGCTTATTTGTAGTGTTAATGTTCTTAATGTTCTTGGACCAGTGACACACCTGATGAATGAATTAAACTTTGGATTTTTGTAAGAAAAAAATATTCTCTGGCCTTTTTTTGGGGGGTGGGTACAGAGTGTTTGCTCCTCAAGGACCATTTCATTGTTGAAGTTCAAAAATTGGAAGGGGAAGGGGGTGGTGCTAGTCAGCCACAAACTTCAAGGAAAGTTCCTGGCAAATGACTGTCAGTGACTTCCTTTTCATAAATTAGCACAAGAAGTTTAAGAATTTTGTTAAAATATTTAACTTTTTAAAAAAAGTATGATTAAATCATTTGGGGAAAACTTTCTTTTAAGCACAAATCATGGAAAATAGGAGGAGTCAGGTAGTGTCCCCAGTGCTACAGATGTACTACTTGTGGTCTACAGTTTAATGAGGAGCCTCCAGAGAGGCTTTGATTCCATAAAAGGCTCTCTTGTGCTTCCTGACCATTTGTCGTTTGAAAAGCAGAACTAGCCTCGAGAGGATGTATACACAGACATTTTTCTTTATGGACTTTTGTACATGATCCTTGAAACTAAGGCCTTATTCAGATTTGGCCTTCGTTGTTTTGCATGTGGTTATGGCTTTTTGGTGATTTTCTTAAGAGTCTTTTGATGCACTTGGCTTTATGTTCACTTTCTTCTCATTTGCTCACACCTCACGTAGGCCTGTGACCCAAATTCCTATTAGGATGAAAAACAGACCCACTCAAGTTCCGGCACCATCCACAGGAAGAAAAAACATCTTGATTTACAGTGTGACATTTTTAAGTAACTTACAACAAACATTAGAGGCCCTATTCTTCAACTAGTACATAGACTCTAAGTATAACATCATTAAATGGAAAAAGGATAGCAACTGACTTTACTTTTCAAATACTTAGTACAATTTTGCTTTTACATTTAGTCAATTTAAGAATCTAGATAGATTAACTTAGATGTACACATTTCCTTAGTGACCCCCGCTCCCCAAAACAAAAAACCCAAACCACAAAACTATTAGGAAACTATAGGGGTACTGTGTATAGTGAACACCACACATCAGACAAGATAATGAACCCCCTACAGATATTAATAAACAATGACTGGAATTGAACTAAAAGCTTTAGTTACTACTTAATGAAGTTTGATAGAGTTCTTTGATGAGGGATGTGTTTTAAGGAATAGGTAGTATCCCTTTCTGTTACGAAGTTAGCATCTGATGTGACTAGTATATGTGAATGTATATGTATATATATATATATATATATATATATATATATATATATATATATTGTACCATTGAACTGCTGTAGTTGGTTCTGTCCCCAAATGGAGCCAAATTAAGCCATATGTAATAAATGTTATTACTACAGTATCACCATGTACCTTGGGTCAATAAATAATTTTACTTCTAAAACAGAAACCTGGAAAAACTCTTTCTCCTTCTCCCCCCCCCCCAGCTAAAAAGGGAAGTAGCTGGGCCTGGTGGGACTGTCCTCCTCATCTGAGTCATGGTTTCCTCTGCCTAAAAATAAAGATAATAGATCTGTCACTTCTGATAGGATTATGAGAAGAGCACTGTGTAAATAGGAGGTGCTGTTGTCTTCTCCAGACGGACAGAATTTGTTTTGGCTGATTAAGTCCTCATAGTTCATGGAGTCAGGGTGGATGACGTACAAGAGGGAATTCAGCTGTGACCGAGACATTTTGATAAGTTACTCTTTGAATGAATGTGCAGAGGACACAGGTACCGACATCTGCTGTCCTAATCTCTTGTAAGGATTATGTAGGAGAGGTAAGTGCCTAGGGACTACACTGAGGACCAACAAATGCAGAGCACTCTGATGAGAAGATTGGGATTCTTAAGCATCATTTTAATGATCTACGTTGTTGCCTTTTTTTCCTGTGGGGACATTTCTTTTAAATTAGAATGGAATCAATAAGAAAAGCAAAATTATACAAATTTCTGCTTGACAGCATGTACTAAGGTCAAGCTATGCCTTGATTTTTCTCTTCTTGGATTCAGAAAAAAATGTATCGGTTGCTGATGTTCTATAGCAAAAGTTTCAAAATTTATACTTAACTTTAAACTATGTCATGGATAAATGTTTGCTATGTTTTCAGAAGTGGTATCGAAACATTTTTTGTGTTATTTTGGCAAATTTCAAATGTTCAGAATATGGTTTTTCTTATTAGGAAATTTTCTAACAGAATCCCTAAATAATAATCTTCTAATATGAAGGAGATACAAAAGCCTATGAATAATAAATATATCATTACAGTGTCAGTACATACATTGAGTCAATAAAATAAATAATTTTACTTTAAACACAGTTGAAAAACTAATTTTTGCTAAAAATTAAGTTCCTTTTGTCAAGAGGTCAGTAGATATGTTAAATTAATTAGTGTTATACACCATCTAAGATATTGTGAGAATAAACTAGAAAGAAAGGGAATGGAACAGTGAGACATTCAGTGAAATGTACTCAGATGTATTTGTCACTCCCTCTGACACAGAGAAGGAACTTCAACCAAGACCAAGAGTGCAACGTGCAGGGAAGCCAGGCTCACTGCAGCAGCCTCGAACCTCTGAATCCGGCCTCCCGCAAAGGCTACTCTGTACAAGTCTCTCATTCTAAAAGCTGTGTTCACATTTACAATGCCTAGCAATGCCACATAGTCAAACAATGTACATGACAGACATCGGTATACTCTAAATCCACTTCTCTGTGTCAAGGAAAGTGTAGGAGTGTGGTCCTTTCTCCGATGATTGTAACCTGTGGCACAGGGGCAGACGTCCTGCTGACCTGCACATGCCATCCTCAGGAAGACGGAGGGGGACCAGGCAGCAAGAACCTAATGCTGTCTCTAGGAGGAAGTCTACATCCCGAAACTGCCCATGTACTTCCAGCTGTCTGCTTCTTGATTTCGTTTTTTCCACGTAAGCAGGGCACCGCACCTACAATTCAATGTGATGACAGATGAAGGCCTGGAAACACTGGGAAATGTTAAAATGCCTTAGATTTTAAGTACAGTGCTTCAAAGTAAGGCTCACACATTCTCTCATCAGACCCCTGTGAGGCAGGCAGCACACAGAAAAGAGATGGTAAAATCATGGCTTGGAGAGGTCACTGTGGACTGAGGGGTCTGGGAAAGCCTAGGGGAGGAGATATCCTTTAGAGGTGGGGTTGAAAAGATGCTTATGGTGCTTCAAAGACTGCCCTTTGTGGGGTCAGAATCTGTCTACTGCCCCCTAACTGTAGGCGGGTCTCGACTTCATCAGCCCCCAATGGGTTCACTCTTCTCCATGCAGATGGCACGTCTAAAACATGTCTGTCTTCTGTTCCCCTAAACTCACCCCTCCTATGTTCCCTCTTTCTGCTGAGGGCACCACCTTCCTTCCAGTGACCCAACTCTGAAACCTCCAAATCATCTTCAGCTCTTTCCTCCCTCTTCTTCAGTCCCTATCCTCAGCCAGTTAAAGCTTGATTTCACCTCTAAAACATCTCCTGAATTCATACCTTTCTCTCCTCTCATACAGCCACCACCCTAAGTCAGGCCCTTATCATCTCAGAGCTGTCTCAACTGTCTTCTGCCTGCCCTTCTATCCCCACACTACTACCAAAGTGATTTTCTTAGAACACTTCTGACCCCATTTAATAAACATCTATGGTTCCCTAAGACCTAACTGCAAACTCTTCTGTTTGGCATGTCAAGCCCTTCCCAAATTGGTTCCAACCTGCCTTTCTAGGTGCACCAAGAGTCCAGCTACACCAGCCTTCTTGTTCCTCACACATAACATCTCTCCTCTCTAGGCCTTTGCCCAGGCTGCGCTCCCCTCTGCCTAAGTAGCTCTAGTTTCCTCCTAAGCTCAAACACTGCATCCTCTCCTTGACTTCTGGAGATTCACCCAAAATTACCCTGTATTTATTTGGTATATACTTTGTATCTACTTCAGTGGCAGGTGGCACAGTGGATACTGTATTGGGCCTGGGGTTGAAAAGAGCTGAGTTCAAATTTGGCCTAACACCAGCTATGTGAGCTTGAGCAAGTCACTTAATCTGTCTGCCTGTTTCTTCAACTATACAATGGGGACAGTAATAGCACTTACCTCCTAAGGGTGTTGTAAGGCTCAAATGAGAGATGTGTAAAGTGCGTAGCACAGTGCCTGGCACACAGTAGGTGATTAATACATGCTCATTCTCATCTCTATGACAGAATGCAGCAAGGTCCTCAAAGGAAGGGTTGTTCATTTTGCCTTAAATCCTCTGGCACCTACTGGATGCTGATTAAGTCCAGGGAGCAGGCGTGTTGGCTGAAGGGCAAAGCATGAGAAGGCACAGAGCAGGCAGAGTGGAGTCTACGCCTGAGACAACAAGCGATGCAGCTGCAAGGGGGGCGGGTAAGGATCAAAGTGTGAAAGAGAACAGAAGGTTCACACATGAGGCAGCGAATGCGTCCTTGGGCAGGAAGGTCACAGACCCTCCGGTCTTGCCCTCCTCCATAAGAAGGGCGGGTGGGCAGTCATCTGTGCATGTGGCAGTGAGGAGATACACTGTTTAAGAGGTGGACATTCTAACTGAATGGACGTGGGAGGCCGGATGCTTTAAGAAAATACAGCTCGTTATAATGAGACCCTCAATTCTGTCAGAAGGTCACAGGGGCCATGGTCCAGAGAGTCGTTCTGCTCTGCACTTTGGCCTTGTTCAATCTCTGCGGCTCATTGTTTGCAACTGTATGCTATTTCTTTTAAATGGGTTGTGGCCAAATGTCAGCAACGGCCTCCTTTGCCTTCTGTGTGTCCCGACTCCATCTCTTCAACATTCTGTCAACTAGCTCTGTGAGAGCTCTAATGGACAGAGTTGGCCTCAGAGTCAACAAATTCTGTATTCGAGTTCTCCCACGGGCACCCGCCTGCTGTGTGAGCAGCTGCCAACCCACACTGATAGGAGGGATCTTCTTGCCTAGAATCTCTCTATATCTATGAAATCATGGGTGTGCTAGGTGCTGGAGACACAAAAACAAGTCTATCAAGGAGGCAGCGAGGGGGCGCCATAGTGCACAGAGCTTCCAGGGTCAGCAAGACCCAAGTTCAAATCCCTTTTCAGATACTTACTAGCCTTCTGACCTTGGGCAATGCACTTGGCCTCAGTTCATCCCCCACCCTGTAAGGGGAAGGAGTTGGAGAGGTGGTCTTTGACGTCTTTCCTAGCCCTAAATCTATGATCCTATGATCTACAGAGATAAGTGAAGCCAAGGCAACTTCAAAAAGGACAGAGCACTAACAGAGGAAATAAGGGAAGCCCCCTTGGAAGAGATGGCTCCTAAACAGATCTGAAGGAAGAGAAGAACTGAGAGAGGCTGGATCTGCGTTAGAAAGAGCTTCTTCAAAGGGAATTCCCTACATTACTATGATGACCTAGCATTTCTATAATATTTTAAGGTTTGCAAAGCATTTTTCATGTTACCGCATTAGATCTTCACAACAGTAGGTGCTAATATTATCCCCATTTTACAGATGAGGAAACCAAGACTGACAGAGATTAAGTGACTTGCTTAGGGTTATGTAGCTAGAAGTGCTGGAGGCCACATTTGAACTCGGTGCTTCCTGATTCCATGTCCAGGGCTCCTACCCCAGGGCCATGTGAGTAGAGGGAAGAGAGCAGATGTGTGATATACTGAAGAAATAGAATGGAGAAACTCTGCTGAAGATATTACAAAGAGAAATCAGAGGAATGGTGGGAGGTGGAGCCTTCAAGATGGCAGAGAAAAGGCAGCAACTCACCTGAGCTCTCCCCAAAACCCTTTCAAAAACTTTTAAATAATGCCATAAAACTGGAGCAGCAGAACCCACAAAAGGACGGGATGAAACAATTTTCCAGCCAAAGACAACTTGGAAGGTCAGCGGGAAAGATCTGTCACACCTGGGTGAATGGAGCGCAGTCCAGCACAGGCTACGCCAGCACAGCCCCAGGCCCAGCAAACCAGGAGCAGGCCTGGGGAGTGACTGAATCAGCAGCCAGAGCTCTCAGCCCACAGACGGTAAGAAGGAGATTACAGGGATCTCTTTGCTAACACAGAGGCAGGATTCTGTTGCTTTGCCTATATTCAGATCCGGGTCACAGTCCTGGGAGGCAGTTCCAGGGTGAGGAGGAGCACCAGCACAGTAGAGCTTGTGGGCACAGTGGAGGAGGGCACCCTCACCACAGTTCCAGGGCAGAAGAGTGCTTGTGGTCACTCACAGACCAGAGCACAGGCCAGCAGACTAGTAAATACACTTTTCCTTAGATCATACCACCTTGGAAGAACTGAAAACTTACAGGTCCCTAGAAGTATCTCTCAAAATGGCTGCACAAAATCCCTGAAGCTTGGGACAGTGCACCCTCCACCCTGGAAGCAGAACCCTACTTTAACAAAGAGTTAAAAGTCAAGAAATAGGCTGGGAAAATAAGCAAACAACAGAAAAAATTCCGACCATAGAAAGTTACTGTGGTAACAAGGAAGATCAAAACACACTCAGAAGAAAACAGAGTCAAAGCTCCTTCATGCAAAGCCTTCAAGAAAAATATGAATTGGTCTCAGGCTAGGGAAGAGCTCAAAAAGATTTTGTAAAACAAGTAAGAGAGGTAGAGGTAAAATTGGGAAGAAAAATGAGAATGATGCAAGAAAATCATGAAAAAGAATCAACAGCTTGGTGAAGGAGACACAAAAAAATACTGAAGAAAATAACACCTTAAAAAACAGACTAGTGGGGCAGCTACGTGGCAAAGTGGATAAAGCACCGGCCCTGGATTCAGGAAGACCTGAGTTCAAATCTGGCCTCCGACACATAATACTTACTGTGTGGCCCTGGGCAAGTCACTTAGCCCCATCGCCTAGCTAAAAAAACCCCTCCAAAACAGAAAAAATAAAACAGACCAGGCTAAATGGTAAAGAGGTCCAAAAAGCCAATGAAGAGAAGAATGCCTTAAAAAGCAGAATTGGCCAAATGGAAAAAGAGGTACAAAAGCTCACTGAAGAAAATAATTCCTTAAAAATTAGAATGGAGCAAATGGAAGTTAATGACTTATTGAGTAATCAAGAAACAATAAAACAAAACCAAAAGAATGAAAAAATAGAAAACAATGTGAAATATCTCACTGTAAAAACAACTGACCTGGTCCATGAGAGATAACCTAAAAATTACTGGACTACCTGAAAGCCATGATAGACAAAAAGAGCCTAGATTTTATCTTTCAAGGAATTATCAAGGAAAACTGTCCTGATATTCTAGAATCAGAGGGTAAAATGGAAATTGAAAGAATCCACTGATCACCTCTTGAAACAGATCCCAAAATGAAAACTCCTAGGAATATTATAGCCAAATTCCAGGTCAAGGAGAAAATATTGCAAGCAGCCAAAAAGAAACAATTCAAGTATGGTGGAGCCACACTCAGGGTAACATAAGATTTAGCGGCTTTTACATTAAAGGACCACAGGACTTGGAATATGATATTCCAGAGGGCAAAATAACTAGGATTACAACCAAGAATCACTTATCCAGCAAAATTAAGTATGATCCTTCAGGGGAAAAAAATGGATATTCAATGAAATAGAGGACCTTCAAGCTTTCTTGATGAAAAGACTAGAGCTGAATAGAAAATCTGACTTCCAAATACAAGACTAAAGAAGAAGCATAAAAAGGTAAACAGGAAAGGGAAATTATAAGGGACTTAATAAGGTTAAACTGTTTACATTCCTACATGGGAAGATGATACTTGTAACTCATAAGAACTTTCTCATTATTAGGGCAGTTAGGAGTATATATATATATATATAATATATATATATATATATATATGTATATATATATATATATATACATATATACATATATATATATACACACATATATATGTATATATATATACATATATATATATACATATATATACACACACACATACACACACACACATATAGATAGATAGATAGACAGACAGATAGAGAGAGGCACACATGTGAGCTGAATATGAAGAGATGACGTCTAAAAAAATAAAATTAATGGGTGAGAGAGGAATGCACTGGGAGAAAGATAAGGGAGAGGTAGAATGGGGTAAATTATCTAACATAAAAGAGGCAAAAAAAGCTTTTACAATGGAGGGGAAGAGGGGGGAGGTGAGGGGAAATGAGTGAACCTTACTCTCATCAGGAATTGGCTCACAGAGGGAATAACACACACTTAATTGGGTACAGAAATCTATCTTACCCTACAGGAAAGGAGGGGAAGGGGATAAGAGAAAGGTGGTGATAAAAGGGAGAGCAAATGAGGGGGGGTAGTCAGAAACAAAACACTTTTGAGGAGGGACAGGGTGAAAGGAGAGAGAGAATAGAATTAACAGGGAGAAATAGGATGGAGGGAAATACAGTTAGCAATAGTAACTGAAAAAATTTTGAAGCAAGTTTCTCTGATAAAGGCCTCATTTCTCAAACACATAGAGAACTGAGTCAAATTTATAAAAATAAGAGCCATTCCCCAGGTGAGAAATGATCAAAAGCTATGAACAGTTTTCAAATGAGGTAATCAAAGCTAGCCAAAACCATATGAAAAAATGCTCTAACTCACTACTGATTGGATAAATGCAAATTAAAACAATTCTGAGGTACTTCCTCATACATATTAGATTGGCTAATAGGACAGAAAAGGAAAATGACAAATGTTGGAGGGGACGTGGGAAAAGCGAGACAGTAATGCACTGTTAGTAGAGTTGTGAACTGACTCAACCATTCTGTAGAGCAATTTGGAACTATGTCCAAAAGGCTATAAAACCCTGCATACCCTTTGACCGAGCAATACCACTAGTGCGTCTGTATCCAAAAGGAAATAAAATATAGAGGGGGAAAGGACTTATACGTACAGAAATATTTATAGCAGCTTTTTTTTCTGGTGGCAGGGAGCTGGAAATTGGGGAGATGCCCATCAGCTGCAAAATTGTGTTATGTGATTGTGATGAAATATTGTGCCATGAGAAAGGATAAGCAGGATGTTCTCAGAAAAACCTGGAAAGACTTATATGAGCTAATGCAAAGTGAACAAAGTAACAGCAATATTGTAAGATGACTAGCCGTGAATGACTTAGCTATTCTCAGCAATACAATGCTTCAAGACAACTCTGAAGGACTTACGATGAAAAATGCTATCCATCCCCAGACAAAAAACTAATGGTGTAGGAATACAAATTGAAGCATACTTTTTAAACTTTCTTTATTTTTCTTGAGTTTTTTTTTTGTCTCTTTTCTTCTACAACATGACTATTATGGAAATGTTTTGCATGACCACACATATATAACCTATATCAAATTGCTTGCCTTCTCAATGAGGGGAGGTGGGGAGGAAGGAAGGGAGAGAATTTGGAACTCAAAGTTTTAAAATAGAATGTTAACAACTCTTTTTACATGTAATTGGGTAAAATACTAAATAAATTTTAAAAAAGAAATCAGTCAGACAAGTGAGGAAACGACAACCTTAAAAGGATTCGTGGATTGTAAAGTTACATTTTCTTCGGTTGAAAAATTAAATTTCTATAGCAGAAGTGTAGTTTTTTAAAAAAATGTTTTAGCAATGTGAACAGAAATCCATGCATGTAATTTGCCTAAAATATTTATTCAGCAAGTGGTAAAAAAAATTATGCTAGCTATTTAAAATATGGATTTTGGATATAATCTAAAAACATTCCAAAAAACTTGATTCACACCAAAATGCAGAATTATACTCTACTGGATGGATGTAACTCCTATATAACATAAATAAGCAAACTGAAGAAGGATTTAGTCATTGATCAATTCTGATCAAGTCAATGAGTCTAGCAGTATTTAAAAGACCCAGATATTTGTGAAAACGCAGAGGTGCATTCCATCAGGTCTCGCCCCATTGTGACCATCATTAGGTCTGCCCCTCTCTGGTGGGGTTCTGATTTTATTTTAGCAGATTTACGAAAAAGACTGCAACTTAGGGCTGGGGGTCCCAAATATTGCACAGGATTTGGTCTCAAAACCAGAAATTTTAGGTGGTTAGATGCCATAAACCTATCTCATGTGCATTATATAATTAGATTAAAACTTTTCCTCCTAATAATGTCAAGAGAACGCAATTTGCTTGTGGGCAGATGCTGGATGTTCAGGTTCTAGAGGGAAAATGAAACAGGCAGTAGACAGAGTAGGAGTCTGTCTGAAGTTAGCTCACTTTATGATGATAATAACTCACATTTACATAGAGCTTTAAGGGCTTGTTACATACATTATTGCCTCTGATTTAGAAAACGTAAGCTCTTTGAGAGCTGGGATGGTTTACTTCTGGCTTTATATGCCAGGGCCTCCTATGATGCCTGATACCTAATAAATCATCATAAATGCATGTGAACTGAACTGGTACTCACAGTAATCCTGGGAGCTAAGTGGTGTAGATATCCCCATTTTATTACACTGTATTTTTAGTGAACAAAAATTTATTTTCTCTCCCTCCTACCTCTTCTCTCTGACCCTTGGGGGAGGGGGGAAACTCCTGTAACAAATGTGTAATCAAACAAAACAAATGCCTACATCAGCCAATTACAAAAAAAAAGTCTCATTATGCCCTGAGTCCATCACCTCTGTGTCAGCAAATGGGTAGCATGCATTATCATATGTTATAGATGAGCAAATTGAGATTGAGAGATGTTAAATGACTTGCTCAGTCAGAGGCAGGCTCTTCCTGACTCCAAATTCATCATTATCTAATATGCCATTCTGACTCCCATAGAACACAACAGAAAGCCATGAAACCAGAAGCCACTCCTAGGAGACATCAGTCTATACTATTCCTCCATTGACCCTGCCATAGAAACTCACAGAAGAGCTAATGGTCTCTAACGAAGCTCTAAGAATAGAGTTAAGGAGTGGAGGAAACTGGAAAAAAATTTAAAAATTGGCATGAAAACCAAAGGGATCCATAAGACTTTAAAAAAAAAAGGGGGCAGTTAGGTGGCACAGTGGATAGAGCACCAGCCCTGAAGTCAGGAGGACCTGATTTCAAATCCAGCCTCAGACCAAACACTTGACACGTACTAGCTGTGTGACCCTGGGCAAGTAGTAACCCCAATTGCCTAAAACCAAAAAAAAAAAAAAGGACAGGATGTTAACAGGGGTTCAGCAATCATCTCCATTTTCAGAAAAGGACACAGAATTGGAAGGCGAAGTGACTTATTCAAAGTCCCACAGAGAGTTAGTGTCAGTTACTCAGTCTGTCCTGTTCCCTTTAGGCCCGTATTAATCTGAATGGTTAAACTAGATGGCTCATCTGTACGGTCTCAGAGTTTACTTAAAGGATAATGGCATAGGCAGTACTTTCTTGTAGTGCATTTTCTTATTTACATTTATGAGAATTAGTTTTGCTTGTTGTCCTTTTCTTGAGAGAAAGAAAGGACACAGTACGAGCTGTGCCTTAAAAGCTTATTAAAGGGCCTTGCTTTAAAAGTATGAGGGCAGTGAATCTGGGATCGTACCTGGATGGAACAAACTGAAGGTGCTCATGGGTGATGGTCTGTCACATCATTAGAAGGGAAGCTGCTCACAGGTTTTTCTTCCTTTACCTGGACACTTTCTGCTACTGAAAGCTGAGAGGGTGATGTGAATCCTCGGTACTGCTTACTAGACTTCGTAAATTTCTTAATTTCATTAGCAAAGGAAATGCCTTTTCTTTTATCATCACGAGCTGCCTGGAAAAACAAAAAACAAAAAACACCCAACCTTAGAAAGTAAAATAAAAATGCTCATCACTCTAAAATTAATTTTTAAAATACAATCATTCCATGTTGTTGAGGGAAATATTTTGACATTCTTTTAGTGAAATGTGGTTTGAATCAGTATGAATATGAAGAATGGCATTTTTCTCATATCCTGCTAAAGGATATCCGATTAGCTCAGCAGCTTGGACATCACCAGGGACCCCTGAGGATGTGCTTTTTTTAAACTAAAGAATTACTTTCCAAGTTGGATGTGTTTCAGTTCCTCCAGTACTGTCAGTGCACTGGTTGTGGACAGAGATCTTATTTAAAGTACCAACAGTTAAATGAACATTTGTAGGTAGTCCTTAAGAATGAATTCACTGCCTTTCTTTATGCCACCATCAATGAGGAAGTGGAAGGAAGGGGCACACAACAATGGTCATTTTGTGTTTTTGTTTATGTCATGGGGTGCTTTCCTACTCCAGAGCCCCTAATGGAAGTGATCCTGGATTTTCTATGCTCTCGAAAGTCTACATACTGAAAAAGGCTTTGAGTATGGCCTTGAAAGAAGATTATGTTTGTTTTCTGAGGACCAGCCTCAGTAAGTCTGGACAAACTCATCAGCAGTAATCTAGTCACTTGGTGATGAATTGTTTGGGGCATGGCAATTGATGAAACACAGAAAAACACAAATGGTTTTCGGTCCTGAGTAGTTTCCTTTTGTTTCTATAGTGATGATGGTAAAGAGGGGCAGAAAAGAGGACAGATGGTGCTAAGGATCACTGTTTTCCAGACCATTTACACACATTAATTTAAGTTTCTGATACTATAAATGTGGGCTCCTTGCCAAGTGACTATTGAATAAATACAATATTAGAAGAACTGAATTTTATTCATCTTTCTATTTTTGCTGTAGTGTGACTGGAAGATAGAAGGAAGTTGTAGCTATATGGAAGGATAGCCACAGGTTTTCCTTGGAGGGTTAAATAAAGGAGTCTGTTTTTATCATGCATTCAAAGGCAACAAGAAGCATCGTTTCATCTGACCTTTGGTCATCTGGTATTAAAGTGCTCATGACAAACATTTGCAAAAAGATAATTAATTAATTAATTAATTAATTGATAATTAATTGATGTTTCAACATTGTTGTTGAGATTGAGGAAGTAGAGAAATTTTTATCAAGAACCTGTTAAGACCCTCCAAACAAAATCAATTTATACCTTAATATTCAATGACTTCAATGAAAAGATATGCACAGCTGTAGACAATTTGTTGAAAAACATGGTCTAGGAGTTAGAAATAAGCCAAAGACTTATAGACTACACAGAAGCCTCACAACTTGGGCTGTGATTGAGGAACAGGTGAAGACCAATACCTAAGCTGAAGCTACAGGAGCCCAGTTTACATAACCTGGCATTACTGCAGCTTTGACAAGGGCGCAATAGTAGGGGTGAAGAATTAATCAGCCAGAGTTTATTTAGTGCCTACTATGTGCCATGCAGTATGATAGGTTCTGGGGATAAGAGAAAAAATTAGACAATCCCTGCTCTTAAGGAGTGAACATTCTATTGTGGTAGACAATGTTCATCTATAAATATTTCAAGAACAAATACATATATATCTACATATCTATCTATCTACACACAATAAATACAAGACAGGTTAACTACAAGGTAGGAATGTAGGGCACAAACAATTTTGGTGTGTGTGTGTGTGTGAGAGAGAGAGAGAGAGAGAGAGAGAGAGAGAGAGAGAGAGAGAGAGAGAGAGAGAGAGAGAATCAGGAAAGACTTTCTGTAGGAGGTGGTGCATGAGCTGAGATAAGAAGGAAGTGAGGGATTCTAAGAGGCAGAAGAAGAGGGTGATCTATTCAAGATGGGTGCAGCCGTCACAGTGGGTTTCAAGTGGAGACAGTACCTTAGAAATCTGTGCTAAATATGACAATTCTGCTTGAACTGCCACAGGATTAGGTAATGGAGGAGAAAAAGAAAGGAGTGAGCCCTGACTGCTGGGCTGAGGAAGGGAGGAATAGCTAGGATTGAGTCCCAGTTTTTTCACCTAAACATAATACTATTTATTTTTTTAAAAAGGCAGTTGAGGTTAAGTGACTTGCCCAGGGTCACACAGCTAGTAAATGTCAAGTGTTTGGTCTGAGGCCGGATTTGAACTCAGGTTCTCCTGGCTTCAGGGCCGGTGCTCTATCTACTATGTCACCTAGCTGCCCCAATACTATTTATTTTTAAAGAATAAATTTATATTGATGGCTTCTGTTTCTTACATCACTATAATTTCTCTCCATATCCTTTCCTCCTACCTTTACCAGAGAACCATCCCATATAACAAATATATTTTAAAGAAGAAAATAAAGAAAAAGGGACAAAAGAAAATCAGCAAAACTGATCACTGCAATAAAAAAGTGCCACACCTGTGGACCTCCTACCCTTGCAAAGGAGTAATGTAGGAGGAGTTTTCTCATATGTGTATACATACACACACACACACACACACACGCACACACACACTCTTTGGAGCCATGCTTGCGCTTTATAATTCTGCAAAATTTGCATCTGTTGTTTTGTGGTCGTTCTTTCCATTTACATTGTTGTAGTCGTTGTGTGTATTGTAATTAGCTCTGCTTTCTTCACTCTGCATCAGATCATATAAATCTTTCTGTGCTTCTCTGTATTCATCACATTGATCATGCTTCATAGCGCAGTCATATTCCATTGTGCTCATGTATCACAACTTGTCAGCCATTCACCAGCTGATATAAGCAAAATTTACCCTGCTTCCAATTCTTTGCTACCACAAAAAGTGCTGCTATAAATATTTTGGTGCGTGTGGTCCCTTTCTTCTTATCCATGCCTCCTTGGTGTACTCCACATTGCTTTCCAAAACGGCTGTACTGATTCACAGCTCTACCAACAATGCATTAATGTTCCTGTTTTCCTACAGCCTCTCCAACATTGTCTCTTCCCATCTTTCATCATCTTTGTGAATTGGCAGGTTGTGAGGGGAAACCTCAGAACCATTCTGATTTAAATTTCTCTAATTTTTGGAGCACTCTTTCACATTGTTATGAATTGCTTGCAATAATTCTTTTGAGAACTGTTTGTTCGCTTCCTTTGACCACTTACCTCTCGGAGAATGGCTGTTGGTCTTATATGTATCTGTTAGTTGTGTATATATCTTAGATACTAAGCCCTCATCTGAGAAATCTGATAAAACAATTCCCCCCGATCAACAGCTTCACCTTTCTGAGATGCATAAATGTTGTTTATGCAGAAGCTTTTCAGTTTCATGTAATGAAAGTTATTTATTTTATCTTTTGTAATTGCCTTTATCTCATGCTTGCTTAGGGATGTACCTGCTGTCTGTAGCTACAATATGAACTGCTTCTCTTCTAATTTTTTTTTGGTGTGATACTTAATATTAAGGTCATATGTCCATTTAAAATTTGTTGTGGAATATGGTGGAAGAAGTTAATCTAATCCTAATTTCTGCTGGACTGTTTCCAGTTTTCCAAGCAATTTTTTCCCCAAATAGGGAGTTCTTTCCTAAGTAAGTTATACTTTCTGGTTTATCTAATATTGAGTTCGATTGTTTTTATTCACCTTGTCTAGTTGGTTCCACTGATCTACTTCTCTATTTTTTAAATAAATACCAGATGGTTTTGAGGACTGCTGCTTTATAATACAGTTTGAGGTCTTGAAGTGCTATTCCCCTCTCATCCTTGCCTCTTTTCACTATTTCCCTTGATATACTAGAGCTTCTAGAGATTTTGTTTCTCCAAATAAACTGGATGATGCTATTTATACTACTTATCTTACAGGATCATTGTGAAGAAAGTGTTTTGTAAATTATAGAACACTGCATAAATGTGAGCCACCTTAGACCTAGAAAGGACCTTGGACATCTCTCTAGTCCCAACCCTTCATTATACAAATGAGGAATTTGATGCATAGAAGTAAAGTGATGTTCCTAAAGTCATAAAACTTGTAACTACAATTCAGGTTGACTAACTCCTGGTTCAGTTTCATTTCTCTTCTTCCTCCTTCCATTCCTCCTGCCCTTTCTCCAGTGCTTCTCTCCCTGCACCACACTATTTCCCAATTCAAGTGTTCCTTCAGGGACGCCCAGTGGAGCAGAGTTGAGAAAAAGGTATCTTTTCTGGGCCAAAATGCCAATGCCAACATTAGGGAAAGGGAGCAGGCATCACAGCTAACTGGAGAAGCAATGAGGGCTCATTTTTAAACATAAGCGATTCTTGCCATCTAGTGGTTGGATTAAAAACTAGAGAGTGGCAAGAGAGCACCATTTCATTATCTATGGGCCTGGTTCGGTGCACATGCTGAAAGCTGCCTTTTGTGGGACTGACCAAAAGCGAACTCGTTTCCTCTGAATGACTCAGTCATTCAGTCTTTGCTCAAAGGCTTCCAAAGAAGGGGAACCTACTAGCTCCTAGGAAAGCCAGTTTTACTTCTGGATAGCTCAAATTATGAGGGTTTTTCTACTTTAAATCAAGCCTAAATTTGCTCCTCTGCAACTTTACTGACTGCTACTAGATTCTGCCTTCTGGGGCTGCGAAGAACAACTCTAATCCCTTTTTCACTTGAGGTTCGAAAGGCCTGCACTGAGCATATGGATGTTTTTGTTTCTATTGCTTCCTAATAGTATGATTTGAGCAACAGCACAAGGCTATATATTTTTTTCTTAATTTAAATTTCATTTTATTTTTATTCTGAATTTAATAAATATCAAATAAAATGAGCATTTCCACATGCCTTATTGGAACAGTGAATTCATATGAAACAGTGAATTTCTAATATATAGAGCTTGCTTTTCTTTTTAAGTGTATAATGAATTCAGTATCAAATTTTGGCTTTCTTGCTTGTCTATGATTCCTTCTGGTCTTCCTATAGTTTCCTTTTTTGGAGGGTCCAAGGGAGAACCCTATCATCTGATTTTTATTCTTGTCATTAATATAGTGCCTTATTTTTATTGTTTTCCCCATATTGAACCCACCCTGCATTCTGGCATAAAGACAACATGGTCGGAGTATGTAATCTTTTTTGATATGTTGTTGTAGACTCTTTGTTAATTAAATTTTTTCTGTGTATTGATAATCATTAGGGATATTAATTTATAATTTTCTTGCTTCATTTTGTTTCTCCTGATTTGGGAATAAAGATTATATTTGTATCACAGAAGGAATCCTTTTTTTCCCCTATTTTTGCAAATAGTTTATATAATACTGGAATCAATGTTTCTTTGAATGACATAATTTGCGGATCCTGGAGCTTTTTTCCTTGGGAGTTCATTTATGCCTTGCTCAAGGTCTTTTTTCTTTTTCGGATTGGGTTATTTAAGTTTTCTATTTCTTGCCTATTAATTTTATATTTTTGTATATTTTCAATTTAAGTAGTATATTTCATTTAAGTAATCATTTTTTTTTTTTTAGGCAATTGGGGTTAAGTGACTTGCCCAGGTTCACACAGCTAGTAAGTGTCAAGTGTTTGGTCTGAGGCCGGATTTGAATTCAGGTCCTCCTGACTTCCGGGCTGATGCTCTATCCACTGCACCACCTAACTGCCGCTAACTAGTCATTTCTTGAGCAAATAATTGGACAAAAGTTTTTTAATAATTTACTTTATTTCTTCTTCATTTGTAGTGAATCTTCTTTTCTCCTTTTTTTGATACCGGTAATTTGGATGTTCTTTTTTCAAAATTAGATAATAGCTTTTTTTTTAAATCAGTCCCTTATCTTCTTATTAATTCAGCATTTTTTTCTTTCAATTTTATTAACCACTTGTCTGATTTTTCTGATTTCCCTATTCTGGTCTTTATTTTTTACTTTGTTGATTTTCTAGGTTTTTTCTAAAGTTATATACCCAATTTCATTGACCTGTTCTTTAATTTGCTGATAAAAGTGTTTAATAATATAAATTTTCCTTTAAGGGCTGCTTTGGCTATAATCCAGAAATTTTGGTATGTTGTCTTGTTATAATTTTCTTTGATGAAAACATCTACTGTTTTTATGATTTGTTATTTATATACCATTTTTTTAGGAATAAGTTAATTTAAATTTTTAATCCTTTCTTCAGCAGCCCTTTATGAAATATAATTTTTTTATTGGATTGTGGTAAGTAAAGAATATGTTTAATATTTCTGCTTTTCTGCATTTGTTTTGTAATTATTTATGCCCTAATATGTGGTTAGTTTTTGTAAGGGTGCCATGTACAGCTAGGAAATGTATATTCTTTTCTATTCCTATTCAATAAAAACCAGACATTTATCACATCTAACTTTTCTAAAAGTCTATTCAAGTCTTTGACTTCTTAATTGTTTATTTTTTGTTAGATTTGTCTACATGTGAAAGAGATACATGAGATCCCCCACTATTAGTTTTATTGTCTATTTCTTCCTATACCTTATTTAGTCAATCATCAAGTATTTATTAAGCATCAATTATGGGCTGGACACTGTGGACAGAAATACAATGAGTGAGAAAATCCTTACTTGTAAGGAGCTTATATTTTAACTAGGGAGATAACAAGAACATAAGTTCATGTGTGTGTACAGAAAAATTTTAAGAGAATAAATGCAAAGATGTACGGAGTAGTCTGAAAGGGAGGTCATTAAGACCTGGGAGGATCAGAAAGACTTCACATAGAAGATGGTTCAGTTGGATCTTGAAGGAAGAGAGGGATTTTATGAGGCACGCATGGAAAGGAATTCCTCTCCAGGATGGGGTGCAGTGCAGAGATGGGAGATGGAGTGTTGTGAGTGAGCAACAGAGAAGGCGAATGCAGACGGAGCAGTTGTGAAAGGCTTTCTAAGCTAAGCAGAGGAGTTTACATGTGATTTCAGAGGCAATAAGAAGCTACTTGAGTTGCCTGGATAGAGGAGTGACACAATCTTTATCTGCAAGTAAGGAAGACAAATACTCATGAATTTCCTACTCTGTGCAAAGCACTGTTCTAGGAGCATTCAAAGTCAGAAATGTCCCTGCTCTTGAGCAGTTTATAATTTGTTGGCCAACCTCATCTTTATGCCAAATCTTCCTTCCTGCCTCTTGCCTCAAGCAAGGCTCAATCAATTGCCCAACATCTTCACTCACCATCCCTATGACTTTCTAGTCCAAAACGTCCCTCCCCTGGCCACTACTCTCTAATATGCACTGTCTTCTCTCATTTGGACCTCTTCTTCTGGGCTGGTGTGGAAGGTCAAACTGACCGGGCAGCCCAAGAGATCTGATGACATGGCGACTTGTATGAAGTCTGTAATTGATGAAGGAGCTGAATTATGCAATGAGGAAAAGAATTTTTCTGGCTTAAAAAATGTCGTAAAAGCCCAGAAGTCATCTTGGAGGCTTGTTTCAAGTACTGAGCAAAAGGCAGAAAGTGTTGAGAGAAAAAAAAAGACGGCCCAAGAATAGAGAGAGAAAACTGAGTGAGTGAAAAGAGATCTGTAATGATGCGCACTTTCTATTGGAAAAGTTCTTAATTTCTAATGCTTCAGAAGCAGAAAGGAAAGTTTTCTATTTGAAGACAAAAGGAGATTACAGTCCTGTTATCTGACTGAGGCTGCTGCCGGTGCTGACAAGAAAGGACATTTTAAATGAGCACACAGGAGATGCCACCAACTCATCCTATAATATCCTGGCTTCTCCAGAGAAGGCCTATTCGCTTGGAAAGCCAGTTTTTGATGAAGCCATTGTTGAACTGGAGACAGTGAGTGAGAACTCATACAAAGACACCACACTAATAACGCCATCACTAAGAGACAACTTGATACCATGAACAGACATCATACGCTCAAGGAGATGAAGCTGAGGTAGGAGGGAGAATTCACTAGCCTCTAACTTCTACCTGCCTCATTCTAAAATTACACAGTAGGCCATTTATCATCCATGCTGCCCCATGAAGAGTTACATTTACAATTTATAACAGGTTTATGCTACTGCTATTCAGATGTCTATATTTCCCATGTGGTTTTTATGTTTAATATTAGGGGAATAGAGTCAATTAACATTTAGGGAGTTACAAATTTCTATCTGAGATGGACAATATGGGGCTATGACTTTTTTTTTTTAGGCAATTGGGGTTAAGTGACTTGCCCAGGGTCACACAGCTAGTAAGTGTCAAGTGTTTGATCTGAGGCCGAATTTGAACTCAGGTCCTCCTGACTTCAGGGCCGGTGCTCTGTCCTCTGTGCCACCTAGCTGTCCAGGTTATGACATTTTTATATATGTTTTATGTGCCTGGCATAGTATTTTTAGTACATTGTGATTTCATAAGGTCAGTGTTAAAACAGCTTCTGTGTCTAAGCAAAGGAAACTGTCCACATATTAGTCTGTCATAGTTTGGGGGGCGGGAGGGTAAGGGATAACTGGTTTTAGCCACAGATGTAGTTATTGTGAGTACCTGAGGGCTGTAGCAATACAGTTGTGGTAGAAACAGATATATCCCAGAGATACTACATAATACACCATGTGTATCCATAGAATATACAGTCTCACCATGTACACCTTTATGATTACAGTTGCAAAAGTGTTGCTTAAGATAAAGTTTTAATTTAGTTAATTTACTATGAAAAAGGCAGAAACAGCTCAGATTCCATTATTTGTAAAGTTACTTGCTTTTTGCTTTTATTGTTTTTATTACATATTTGGTGTGTATTTAAGTGGTTTAGGCAACCTAATAACAAATGTAGAAGCTACTGTAAAAACGAAGTGTTTGAAATTCATAATATTACTGGATATCATGCATATCAGTGAAATAAAAAACCTGTAGACTTAACTTTTTTAGTTTTTTTTACTTTTGTAATAGTTTAAATACTTGCCTAAAATGTATATTCTCTAAAAACAGTTAACAATGATGATAGTTAACATTTATACAGTGTCTACTATGTGCCAGACACTGTGCTAAGTGCTTTACAATTACCATCTCACTTGATCCTCACAAAAATCCTGGGAGGGAAGTGCTATTATTATCATCCCCATTTTACAGATGAGGAAACTGAGGCAGACAGAGGCTAAGTGACCTGCCCAGGGTCACACAGCTAGTAAATGAAACTGGATTTGAACTCAGGTCTTCCTGACTCCAGGCCCAGAGCGTTATCCACTGTGCCACCTAGGTTTAACAGGGAGATAACCTGGGAAGATGACTAGCTTTAATGCTTTACACATTTTCATGAACATTCTAAGCATAACTATGAAGAGCATGTGTGTGGTGTGTGCGTACGTGTGTATGTGTGTATGTGTGTATATCTGTGCGCACGCGTGTGTGTGTGTGTGTGTGACCAACACTCAGCACAGGGCCTGTTTAATAAACAGTTTTCCATCTCTTCCTTCTAGGTGGAACAGCAGCAGGGACTAGCAATGGCACCCAAATTGAAAACAGATTATCAGCAATGTGGGCAATCTATTAATGGAAAACTAGAAGCATATCCTATAAACCCCCTCAAGAAGACTGCTCAGGGCCACATACTGAAGGCATTCACTGACCTGAATTAGGTAACAAGCCATACTTCTCTCACTCTGGAAATCTGACATTTGGAAATTCTAGAGGGAAGTGAGACCACTCAAAGCTGGGAAGGAAGATTGTGGAGGAGCGTGACTGCTGGTGGTGGAAGGGGGAGCAGAGAACTCTGGAGCGGGCCCAGGCATCAGAGAAGGTCACTTCATTCACCTGTTCCTGAGGGCAGCTGTAGTACAAGCCCAGGCTGCTTGGGCACTACACTTATGTTAGTATATAAGGGCAAAACTAAACTTAGCTTAGTATTTCCCTTCCCCTTATTGTTTCTCTCCCTTAGAAACTTTCTCCCCAAGTCTTCTTGTTCCCAACCTCCATTACAAAGTTACTTACGAACACCAAACCTTGAGGAAGATCACAAAATACTTTTCTACAGTTTACCTGAACCTGTTCCTTTAGCTTAAGAATAAATTTTCCTGCTCCCTTCCACTTGCTTTGAGCCTGGAACACACACTCCTGGTCTCCGAGAACCCTCTGAGAAGACTTGGGTGTAGAAGATTTCTTGTTAGCAGGTTCCTTTAGCACCTCCTCCAGAAGCACGTAGTCACTCGGGTTGGGATTGCTCAAAATACTATAAGAATATTTTGCTTTGCACAAAGTCTGTAAAGATTCAACAAACAATCCAGCAAACACTGATTAAGCACTTGCTATTGAATCATCTCCAGTTTTTTTCTGTCTATACCTAGTTTGGACATAGTTGTTCACCTGTTGTCTTCACCATCACACCATGAGCTCATGGTGGGCAGAGACTGTCTTTTGCCTTTCTTTGTAACCCCAGGGCTTAGCACAATTCTTGTATATAGTAGGTGCTTAATAAATGCTTGCTGATCAGCCAACCTACTATGTGCAAGGTGCTATAAGCTGGCCCCTGGGGATATAAAGACAAAAGGGAAGGATACTTTTATTAAGCACTTTTTGTATGCTGGGCATTTCACAATTATTATCTCATCTGACCCTCTCAACAACCCTGGTAAGTAGGTGCTATTATTCCCATCTTACAGTTGAGGAAACTGAGGCAAACAGAGATTGAATGACTTATCAGGAGTCACATGGCTAGCAAAACTCTTGTCTCCAGGCCCAGCGCTTTACTAACTGCCTCTGGGGAGAACAGAGAAACAAGATGTTGGACATGCTTCTAACCAATATCTTATAAGAACATATTCTAGATCCTCAAGGCCTTAGAGATCTCCCAGTTTAAAGACCCTCCTTCATTTTACAGAGGAGGAATAAAGGTTAAGCAACATGCCCAAAGTTATGCAAGCAGCAAAGCCAGGTTTCTCATCTAGGGCCTCTGTCTCTTAATCCAGGGTATCTGTCACTTAGACTGAGTGTCTCTACTTCATTTCAGACTCATAAAATACCAAGAGTGAGACAGGGCCTCATCATATAGCCCATCAGATGTAGGAATGTCCTCCACAATATCCCTAACGGAAGGCTGTCAAGCCTCTGTTTGAACATTACCAGTGACAGGGCCCTCATTACTTTGTGATTTTCCCAAAATGGCTTCCTTCCAGTTTCCGTAAGACGCACTCTATCTCTTATTAGAAACCATCATGCTAGGGTGTTATTTATCAAATTAACCCTTAAGGTATATAATTTACTTCAACCTTATTTCAGAAAGTGGGAAGGAAATACCCAGAAGGACAAAATGTACCTGCTGGATGACCTCCTGGGCAGTGCTGACCCGGGGAGCTTTGATGACTGTGCGGGGTTGCTCTGGGGAGACATCATGGACTTGTACAAAGAAGCTTTCATCTTCTGAGCTCAAGGTCACCTCCTTCTCTTCCTGGAAGACACTCTTCTCCTCTGGCTGCTGCACACAAAGTGTGAAAAAGTAGAGAGAAGACGACAAATAAAAAGCAGCATGAGGTATTTAGGACACCTGGACATATATGCTGGGTTGTGTTCATTCTTAATTGCGTGACTTGGGCAAAGAGCTTAATTAACTTCATCAGCCTCAGTTTCTTCATCTGTACAATGGGCGTGATAGTTCTTGCACTTCTGCACACAGGGTTGTTGTGAGCTGTAAACTGGGTATAAATATATATCTAATGTGAAAATATGTATATATATAAAATATGATGCAAACTATCACAAAAAAGGTAAACCATCTCTTGGTTAAATTGAGAAAATGTTGTGTGTTGGTAATTTGGGACTTCTGAAGGACATTTCTTACCTCTGAATGTGATTCCTTTAAATATTCCTAAAATTCTATATAATCCATATACATATACTTACAAATGGGATATATGTGCTTGTATGTATGGTTGTGAATATGTGTGTGTTGCACTAAAGTTTTCTCGGGAGAAAATGTTTAGTTTGATATGGATTGCAAATATCTTTGTGGAGGCCAGCTGACAAAAAGTGGAATGGAGTTTGGCACATACTGCATAGATAACTATATAAATCCTCATTCATTTTTTAACAACTGTGGTGAGACTTGCCCACCATAGCCAAACATTTGAAAAAATTTTTCTGAGATATTTTTAAAGAAATGCAATGTTATTCCTTTGAAGTATATTTTATAAAGTAAATTTCATTAATGGACATTAACAAATGAAACAAGGTGACTTTGTGAAAAAAAATATGTACTTTCATGATCAAATGTATCATCAATGCAAGTATCTGTCAACGTATAAGAATTACAAAGCTCCCATTTTGAAGCTATATTTGAAGAAATATTCTGAGCCCTTGGTTTTATTTTAGACTAATCTTTCTGTACTCACAACAGCTCAGTGCAGTGGGGAGCTTCTGAGTGATGCTCTCCCCCTGCTCGTGCAGCTCAGCACCTTCTCTGCGATTTACAGTCTTAGTAAGTTGCCTAGACCACTGAAAAGTCAGTGGCTTGCTCACATCTCAAAGCCAGGACAAATCAGAAGATGACTTGAACTTAGGTCTTCTTGTCTTCACAATCAGCTCACTTATGCTTATCCATGACAGGACTTAAATTCCTCCCTCGGACATCACTTGCTGTGTGTGTCTGTCCTAGGGAAAGTCAATCCATCTGTCAGTGGCCCCGGGGAATTCTTTAAGATTTATAAGATAAAGATAAACTATAGATTTGAATCTGTAGATGGAAGTACCCCAGTGGGAGTTCTCTATACTAATGGAACCACAGGTCCCGACCAAAAGTTACATAAACCAGGTCTGAATTACTGAAAAATTTTTAGTTGGCAGAGTTTATGGGATTTTACAGTATTGGCTATTCCTGAATATACTTACTTCCTCCTGGACTTTAAAAATAATCCTTCCAACATAACCTTCTTCTGGGAACCAGCTGTTCAAAATCTGCACAATCTCTTCTTCTGGACTGATTATTCTCTGGAATGGCTGTTTCCTGAAGTCATTTTTTTCTTTAGATATAAAATATTTTTCTTCAATCAAAAAGCAGTCTGTGGTGATTGGTATGGAACCTTGTGAAGTAGTCAAAATCTAACATGTACAAAAGAAAAGACTGGTGAGATAGTCTAAATAGTTGATAAAAATCTTTAATTTTAAATGAATCTATTCTTGTAGAGCACAAAATATGCCTGACATTTACTGCCAAGTTAAATCTACTCTGGAGTAGTGAGTCTATTATTCCTTTTTGGAAGATCTAAGCAATTTCCTATGACCAAAACGGCTTGTTTACTTCCACTTTGGCCGGCAACACAATTTATTCATAATCCCAGGACAGCAAAACTCTTTTCCCACTGCTGGAATGACAACCCCTGTTGAGTTTTAATAACTTTTAGGTTTTTCAACCCATGAACTTAGCCCTTTGTCATTCTATAGCCTTGGAACGCTACAAAAATGCTTTGCTTTTATGACAATGGCCAATAACCTAGTCCAGCCTTAATCAAGACAATTTCTTTTTCTCATGTTGGTATCACCCAATCATTTTTAAATGTTAGGTTTATAGAGTTAAATTCTCAGCGTAAGCAGGTCCCTGGGAATTCTATAGTGTAATACACTTTTGACTACATTCCAGGGGATTATTCTCCTTGTAGATTTTACCTCCTCTCCTATACCTTACCCTTTACAACCAAATCTTAGAGACTGTTAATGGTAAGACAGTAGATGAGGCTAGGTAATGTGATAAACTGATCTCTAGTTACTTTCCATTGATAAAAAACAGAATGACAATAAAGGAGATCTAGTCTGGCCTGAAGAAAGCCAATGACCTTTATATTAGGCCCATGGTCAGTATAAGAATCAAGGCTGTATCTACTAGCTCAAGAGAAGAAAAGGGCAATGAGGATGGGAGAAAATGATTCAAGTGAAAAACAGGATTTGATAAGGGATTGGGAATTCCTGGCTAGGGAAAGAAAAGAGACTTTATGGGAGAGAACAATATTGAACGTCAAGACAAATCAGGTCAAGAAACATAATTTATGGCAGGATGGTGAGGCAGAGGCCACAATCCAGCCACACTCTATCAACATTCCTCTTCAAACAACTTTAAAATAATGCTTCAAATTGAATTTTGTAGTGGCAGGACCAAGAAAAGGTCAGGATGAGACATTTTCCAGCCCAAGACAATTTAGGAGGTCCTCAGGGGCAGTCTATGACACTGAGCTAAAGGCTAACTTGGAGTTCACATGGCGGCAACTACAGTGGTAGGCCCTGGAAATAGTTGTGAAAGCAGTAGCAGCTTTGGGAGCTCTCAGCCCAGAGACAGTAAGGATTAGACAACTGGTCAGAAAGGGATCAGGGACCCTTTGCTGGCACTGGCACCTAGTGCTTTTTGGAACTCTGTTGCTCATCCACAGTTCTGGGTCACAGTTCCAGGGCAGAGAGGAGCACTAGTGCTTGCAGCTGCAGGAGAGCAGAGACTCTTCCCGAGTAAAGAACAGTGCACACCTCTCCCTGCATCACAACATCTTGGAAGCACTGAAAACTTGCAGGCCCCAGAACTAGCTATGAATATAGCAGCACAAAAAAGCTTGAGGCTTGGGATGGTGCCTCTCCCCTCAAAGGCAAGCAGAGCTCAACTTTAACATAAAGTTCGAAGTCAAGAAATAGGCTAGAAACAGCAAGAGACAGAGAAATTCCTTTTAAGATAATGGCAGACAATACAAAACACTTGGGAATCTACCTGACAAAGACTCAGGAACTATATGAACACAATTACAAAACTCTTTTTACACAAATAGTCAGATCTAAACAACTGGAAAAACATCAATTGCTCATGTATAGGCCAAGCCAATATAATAAAAAATGACAATTCTACCTACATTTACTTACTCAGGGCCATACCAATTAAACTACCAAAAAATTTATTTTATAGAGCTAGAAAAAAATCAACAAAATTCATCTAGAAGAACAAAAGGTCAAGAATGTCATGAGAATTTATGAAAACAAATGTGAAGAAAGGTGGCCTAGCCATACCAGATCTTAAACAGTATTTCAAAGTGGTAATCATCACAACTATCTGGTACTGTCTAAGAAACAGAGTGGTGAATCAGTGGAATGGATAAGGTATGCAAGACACAGTGGTAAATGACCATAGTAACTTAGTGTTTGACAAATCCAAAGACCCTATTTTTGAGACAAGAACTCACTATTTGACAAAAACTGCCAGGAAAACTGGAAAACAGTACAGCAGAAACTAGGTATAGAACAACATCTCATACCATATACCAAGATAAGGTCAAAATGGGTACATGATTTAAACATTAAGGATGATACCATAAGCAAATGAGGACAGCAAGGAATAGTTTACCTGTTGGATCTATGGAGAAGGGAAGAATTTAGGACCAAACAAAAGATAAAGAACATTACCAGATGTAAAATGGATAATTTTGATTATATTAAATTAAAAAGGTTTTGTATACACAAAACCAATGTAAGCAAAGTTAGAAGGAAAGCAGAAAGCTGGGAAAATTTTTTTTACAGCAATTATCTCTGATAAAGGCCTCATTTCTCAAATATATAGAGAACTAAATCAAGTTTATAAGAATACAAGTCATTCCTTAACTGATAAATGGTCAGTTTTTAGAAGAAGAAATCAAAACTATAGTCATATGAAAACATGCTCTAAATCACTATTAATTAGAGAAAAGAAAATTAAAACAACTCTGAGGTACCACCTTATACCTATCAGATTGGTTAACATGACAGAAAAGGAAATAAATGTTGGAGGGGATATGAGAAATTTGGGATACTAACACTGGTTGTTGGTGAAGTTGTGAACTGATCTAACCACTCTGGACAGCAATTCAGAACTATGCCCAAAAAGCTATAAAACTGATCCAGTAAATAACAACAAAACAGCAACCACCACCACTACTAGGTCTACATCCTAAGGAGATTTAAAAAAAAAAAAAGGAAAAGAAACTATTTGTACAAAAAATATTTACAACAGCTCTTTTTGTGGTAGCAAAGAATCGGAAATTGAGGGGATGCCCATTAACTGGGGAATGGCTGAACAAGTTGTGATATATGATTGTAATGGAACACTATTGTGCTATAAGAAATGATAAGTGGGCTGATTTCAGAAAATCATGGAAAGACTTATATGGACTGATGTAAAGTGAAGTGAGCAGAACCAGGAGAACACAGTACTTACACAGTAATGCAATAGTTTGGTAGATGGGCCTGTTGGATCTTACATTCTGATGGCATAGAATTTGATAATCCATGGCCACCTTCATACTCCAATGAAGCTTCAGAGGAAAGCTCTGGTGAGGGCATGCATGTGTGTATGTATGTATGTATGTATGTATGTATGTATGTATGTGTGTGTGTGTGTATATAAAAACAGAGAGATTAAATTATTAGATTTTTACAACCAAGTGCTTTGTGAACTTACTTGGTGAAGAAGCTGCTTTGCTTTAGTCTCTTTATTTATAATGAAAGTGGTAAAAGGCTCTGGACCTGGAATCCCATGTACTGTGACCTTGTATGTCACCAGACCTTTTCTTTCTTCTGTGCTGAACATCTGTCAGATAGAATATTTATATCATTTGTGTAGTAATTCAGACTCTTTTTAGTCTAAATAATGTAGACTATTTTGAGATTATGTTTACAATTACTCATAATTAGAGTGCATGGTGCATTCTTCTTTAAAACCATTAAAATTGGAACACTTGGCAGTGAGCACCTTAAACACTGATGACCTTGCAGCCATAGCCTCTTTTCCTATTTTAGATGGTGGGTCTTTCCTTCAAGTTCCTTTTGATCCTAATTCATTATTTATTCATTCGATCAATAAACATTTATTGAGTGTCTATTATGTCCAGGGTGTATAGTGTTAGTTACTTAGAACTTTGTAATTCCCTCATGTATTCAGTCTGGCATCCTATTGCTTTTTCCCTTCCTAACATTACCTTATATTTATTTTGTCTCTATTTTGTATATAGTCATGAATGTCCATGTCGTCTGACCCGTTATGATGGTGGGCTCCTGAGAGTAGACTTTGTTTCATTCGTTGGTCTTTGTATCTCCAGTGCCTAGCACACAGGAGGTGCTTAATAAATGTTTGCTGATTGATTCACTGCTAAAAAACCTGAATGCACCCTCACTCAGGTTCTTAGTGCCACGGACCCCAATCTCTCAAACTTCTGTCTCTGTGGGAGCAGCAGCAGAGTCAGCATCAAAGTAAAAGCTTCCCAAGATCCCCCTGCCTTGCTGGAGGAGCTTCTGCTAGTTGTTCTGATACTATTGCTAAAAGTAAGAGAAGCAGATCCTTCTTATTTGCCTCCTCTCAGTAACAGGCTCCATCAGACAAGAATTCTTTAGGGTTAGAGAATCTCGCTTCAAAGTCCATCAATTCTCCTTCTTTTCCTGCTCCCAACCTCTACTCCCATCACTCAGGCTGGGAATGCTTGTGTTGGTGGCAGACGATTCCAAGAATACTCCCACCCTAACAAATCAGAGAAGGCTTCTTACCTCTGGCTTTTCATGACATTCCTCTCTGTTTATTTTCCTTTTATCTGTCTGGCTCAGCCTTCTCCAGTCTCATTTATTTGATCGTCATCCGGTATTCTATCCCCTAAGTGTGGGTATGTACCAAAGCCCTGACCTGGGCCCTCTTCATTTCTTTCTCTAGTCTCTCTTAGTGAATTAATCATTTCCCAGGGGTTTAATTATGATCTTTATGCAGATGCTTCCCAGATCTACATATTTAGCCTAAATTTTTCTTCTGAGTTCCTTTTGAATACTTTTGGGTACTTTTTGGATATTTAGACCTTGTTGTCCATAGGCATTTCAGATTCGACATGCCCAAAGCAGGATTTATTATCTCCCTGAACCAACCTCTCCTCTTTCACATTACCCTATTGCTGTCAAAGGCATCACCATCTTTTTGGTCACCCACCCAAGATTATAGCAGTGTGATCTTCAACTTCTCATTTACAGCACCTATGTAATTAGCCCCCAGTTCTGTCAGTTCTACTTCCATATCATCTCTCACATCCATCCCCTTCTCTCTACTTTGTGGCAACACCCTTGTTCAGAACATCATCACACCATGTTCAACCTAGATGTCACCATTCTCTACTTCCTTCAAAGCAGAGAACAGTCACGCTTCAAAGATATAGGTAACACCATGCTGCTGCTGCCACTACTGTGGCTAGGAGAAATGGGACCTCTGGACAGCCCAAACACTTGGAGAAGCTCACAATGATACAGTTTGGGGACATCCTCTGCCTTGTCTCATGTCCCACACTAGCCCCTTACCCTAGGGGAGGTGGGGGAAAAGGGAGAGAAAGTGCTATTTGAGCTTAGCTTTGAATGAAACTGAGAATTCTAAGAGGCCAAGTAGAAGAAAGGACTGTGCAGGCACAGGGGACAGTCTAGGAAGGCACAGAGACCGGAAGTGGAGGTCCTTCATGAGAAACTGTAGCAGTGTGGTCCCTGGGATCCTGGGCTCCCCAGGGTGACTTCAGGCGTCTTGACTAATCCCAAGCATGGGACTGTGGTGAAGAAGGAGGGCCCAGTTCTGTTTATCTTTTCACTTCCTCCGGCATTTCCCAGGGGCATTTGTTGAGTGTTTTAAAGCTTGCCACATGCTCTGCAAACATTATTTCACTTGAGCCTCACAACAACACCTAGAGATTAGGTGCTAAATGTATTATTATTCCAATTTTACAGACAAAGAGATTGATCCTCAGAGAAGTTAAGTGATATAATCATGGTCACACAGTAGTATCAGACATAGGAGTGGAACCCATGCCACTCATTGCCAAGCTCAGAACCCTCTCCATTATACCACACTGCCTCACTGCACATGCTCCTAAAGAGGAGGCCTTTAACAAATGTTTGTTGAATAATTAAATTAATGAATGAATCCACTACTTAGAAAGGAAAAAAAAGAGGCAGGGGAGGGACATTTGCCTGACAGGGGAACAAGGGGCATAAATATCAGTGTGAGTATAAGGTAGAGCCTGAAAATGAAGAGTAAGAAATGGTAACTAAATTTCACTTAATAAAGTAAGACGTATTTCTCCTCTTGTTTTCATTAAAGTGTGATTCACTGGGTTCTCTTAGAGTCGAGGTACAGTGTCCTCTGAGTTCGGATACTTTCTTCTTACTGATCAACTGGCTGAACTCTGGCACAAGAAGACTGAAAAGCAACAATGCTTCATGAATCAGGGGAAGTGTGGTTCAGACTGATCTGTTCAGTCAAATGCAAGGTGGGGTTGTGGCTGCTGGGTCTTGGCTACCACTTCTTGGCAGCTCAGGAGCTAAAAATGTGATCAGGCGGGTCCTCAGCATGTGCTTCGAAATCTTTTTAGAATATTGAGATCACACAACTTCTAGAGCTAGAAGGAGTGTCTGAGATGTGGTCCAACTCCCTCTCTTTATAGCTGAATACACTAAGGCTCAGTTGACTTCAGTAACTTGCCAATTGTCAGAGTTAGTGTCCCAGGTGGGCCTTGCAGCTGGTGTCACAGTGGATAGAGCCCCTTGGGCCTGGAGTCAGGAAGACTCACCTTCCCAAGTTCAAATCTGACTTCAGATACTTCCTAGCTGTGTGACCTGGGCAAGTCACTTAGTCCTATTTGCTTCAGTTTCCTCACCTCTAAAACCAAGATAATAACAGTACCTCCCTTATAGGGTTATTGTGAGAATTAAATGAGATAATAATTGTGAAGCACTTAGCATGTTATCAGACACATAGTAAGTACTATATAAATGTTAGCCATCATCATTATTATTATTATTATTATCTAGCTTGGTAATGGTTCTAGTATACCCTGTTTCGCTCTAGGTGGTGGACAAGCAGGTGAAAGTCAGGGAAAAAATTGTGTATGTCTGTGTGCAGGCATGTGGTGTATATGTATGTGAGAGATGGAGAGAGAAGGGGATGGGTTTAGGGCATGGGAATAACACCTAAGCATTAACACAGAGCAAGGAAAATATGACATTAACATTTGAGTTTAGTTACCAAAGATGCTGCACAGCACTGCCACTGGAATTTTCTTCCATCCTCCTGCTGTTTATGAACAAGCTAGAGATTTCTAAGACTTCGTTATGTAGATTTCTCAGCTGAAGATGACGATATCCTAAAACAACACACAACTGGGTGAAACCTGTCCACTAGACATTTGTTCCTGTTCTGAGCCAACTTTCCCAAGGCAGGAACCTCAAAGAAAGTGCAGAATGACTTGTTTCTTGATGAGAGGAGATGGTTACACTGCTTAGCCATGCAGAGAGGACGTGCCTTTTTTGCTGGGTGTGAGTATTGCCACTCAGGTAACTAGGATACTATCTAGTGCCATGCATTAGCAATTAATTAGCCTTTGTTACCAAAAGGAATTAATATGCCTTCAAAAGTTCCTAATATTTTCAAAGAAAAATTAAAAAGTAGAGACATGTGACTGCTTTTAAGGTTGGCTGGGCATTCAATGTTTTCTATTTTCTAAAATGAGCACCAATGCAAACTACTTCATCTTCTAATAGCTTTGATAGCATTAAACCCCCCAAATATACAGTGATCCTTTGGAGCACTGTATGTTGAACTTCCATGAAGCTCTGTCTTGTAGTCTGTGTATGCTCATATGAAAGCACACAGAGGACCACCCCAGCTTCTCCCCTGTTTTGTTTTTTTGGGCTTCTTTCATATTCTCTACCTGAAGTTACTGCTGGCCTCCAATCCCCTCTCTCGTGTGACTGTGCTTTCAATAGTGGCTTAATGACTGGCACTGGTTCCACCCCCAGCCCCACACTGTCATCCCCCCCTTCATTTCAAGCCACCCTGCACAGCTTTAGAACTTACAGGGAATGGAGGGGGGGGGCTATGGTTTGAGGGGGAGAAGGGAAGTGGGGATTGTGGAGGAGGGAGTTCTCCATCCACTGCCCTCCATATCCCCTCTTAGTAACATTTGCAAACTCTATTGCAGTCAGAAAGGCCACATTCTGTAAAAGATATTGCAAATATATCAGAAAAATTTATTTTGAGATGCGCTCAATCAATGTTTAAACAAATGAGATTTTCTTCTACCTCTTTTTAAAGCCTTTAGTGGAATGATTCTTTGGGCAGTTACAGCTGAACTGTTGTTTTCAACAACGGCAAAACGAAGAAATACAAGATCTTCAAAATGAACTCGGAACAGAAACTGTTCATTCCACATGGGGTTAAGAGTATTTCGATGAATGGGTTTAGTGCGGAAATGGCAGCTATCCAGTGGCATTCCCAGGACATCAATTTCAATACACGGACTTCCTGTGCTGTTACTAGGACACACATTCTGACCAGAGACAATCTGACGTAAAGAGAAGGATCAAAGTCACCAATAATTGAAAAGACACCAAAGACGCTCATCCAAGTCTGCCTGTGAATTTAAAAAAAAAAAGCTAACTCCCTGTGTAGGGATTGATGGGGAACAGGGGACAAGGGAAAGAGACTTCCTGCTGAGCCTGCTAGGCTTACCCAGAGATTAACGACATGCACCACAGCACTTTTGGATGGTGGGCACTGAGGCTTCACAGGATGCTCCCCGTAGAGCCCCCCTCAGCTCCTCCCCCAGCTGGATGTAAAGAGCCACAGAAAAAAGGCTGGGGGAGTCTCAGTCTGGGGTTTACAGGAACTGGGTCTGGTTTTGAGGGCTGACTGAAAAAATTCAGTCTTTTGGGGCTCTACCAAACTTAGTCTGGAAAATCTTGGAATATCACTCATATCTTGGTCTTCACAGATTTGAGTAAACGAATCTCTCAGAACCATACAAGCCCCCAATGGCAACAATAAAGGATAACAAATAGCTCATAAATAATCCAAACAATTCTCCTTCCTAACCAGGGAATTCTACTTGTTTATCAGGGTTCTAAAGATAAGCCTGACAAACTAAAGTCTTACAATGATAGGTTTGTTTCCCTTCAAGTCGCTAAAAGAGGATTTAAAACTCCAACTTCTATTCACAGTAATACTCACAGTTAAAGAATAGAGAGCAGGCTCCATGTTTTCCATATCTCTTTCCAACGGAGAAAACTGCTGATACATAGCACAGCTCTTGTCCCATAAGACAGGGGGCTTCAAAACATAACCACAGCCACCATTCGCTTCAAACATTGCTGCATTTAAGTGTAAGGAGAGATCTACAAGATGAAAAAAAAAAGGCCATTAATAAGATACCAAAATGTGGATCAAGGGAAACCCATTGCTCTTCTGTCAAATGTTTACAGGCATAGCCCATGTCCCATATTTGCCTTATCATTTCCCAATCATGTCAGGCATGCATTGGATTAACTCGAGGACCTCTCAGGACTGTTCCAGCTGTGAGATTCTGTGATTATATTATGTGATTATATTCTGACACCAAGTCTTGGTATCAGAGTTACTTTAAGGTGTCAATTCTAACATTTTTATGGAACTCACTGTTCTCTGTAATGTTCTTTTGCCAAATACATTGGTTTTTGTGGAGCCAAATTAGTGAGGGTAGGTATGGTATAATTCTACTCTACTTATTCTGCACCAATTTTTTCTGAGATTAAAAATGGTAAAGCAATATGTATACAATCAGCACTCTAGGTCAGCATGAACTATCCTGGAATTGATTTACCCACAAAGGAATTGTCACATATGCTCAATCTTGTAAGTATCCTGAATTTTAGGAAAGAATAACTGTTTTTCTTATTTTTTTCAAATTAATTTTAAGTTAACTTCCACTAGTAGGCACAATAATTCAAGTACTACATATAAAGAACATTTTAAAAAAGAAAAAATATCAGACTGTAGATTATCATCCATAAGCCCATACACTTCTACTTAGAAGTCAGCTAAGTACTGGCTCAGTGGATAGAGTGCTGGGCCTGGAGTCAGGAAGACCTGAGGTCAAATACAACCTTTGACACTGACTAGCTGTGTGACCCTAAACAAGTCATTTAACCTGTCTTGTCTCAGTATCCCCATCTGCAAAATGGGGATAATCATAGCACCTACTTCCCAGGGTTGTTGTGAGGAACATATAATATCTGTAAAGCACTTAGGACAGTACCTGGCACACAGTAAGCACTATATAAATGTTAGATTTTTTTTTTAATTAGACAGCTGGGTGGTTCAGTGGATAGAGTGGTAGGTCTGGAGTTAGGAAAACCTGAGTTCAAATAAGGCCTCAAACACTCATTAGTTGTGTGACCCTGGGCAAGTCACTTAACCTCTGGCCTTAGTCCACTGGAGAAGAAATGGCAAAACCACTCCAGTATCTTTGCCAAGAAAATCCCATGGACAGTTTTGGTGTGCTTTGGGCCACATGGTCATGAAGAGGCAGACACGACTGAATGACTGAACAACAACTACTTTACTATTATTATTATTATTATTATTATTAATTCCCTGATAATTTATTGCAAAATTAAATGTATTTACAACACAGAAGTAACTATATGGTTTTGCTTATTTCCATGACTCCTTTGGAGTCTTTTTTTGGTGTACTTAATGTAGATCTGTTGTTATTATAGTTGTTTTTAACTCCATAGCTGCAGTTATAACTCGCTTTTTTACTCCAGACATTTAATTGCACAGATAATCCAATGTATGATGTTTCCTATGTACCATAAAAATATGTCTAAGAAAAAGTTAGATGATACCATGTATTTGCTTAAGCTCCCAATTGCAATGTATGGAGTGATACCACAGTACTAAAATGCCTTTATTTCTGATTAAATTTTTAAAATTAATCACAATCACACATGACTCAAGGAACTACACAATCCAATCAGTCAGGAACTTTTGGCATCCTTGTGGCTTCTCTTGGGATTTCATGTCCCAGCTTAATAGGCAATATTGTTTGATGGGCTGTTTGGTTATTCTTTCACTATTACTAGGTCTCTCCCAGATTTAAATGCTTATTTTATGGTTTTGGGTTTGTCTTTGCACAAGAGAGCAGAAGGTTTACGAGCCACACAGGACCCAGTGTTCCCCCTGAGTTTTCTAGCTATGTTCAGAATGAATTTCTAACATGTCAACTCTTATAAAGGTAAGATGCAGATGTATACTGCCAAATGCAACAAAAACTCTGTAGATGCTGTATTCATGTGTGTATTATTTGAGCTGTTGATGCACTCCCCCAAACTCCTAAAACAAAACAAAACAGGATAAAACCACTATGTGAGAGTGATCATTAATGATGATTTTAGATTCCTCAACTATAAAATGGGATAATAAAATATTCATCTCTCTGGGTAGTAAGAGACAAATGAGACAATGGATGCAAATAAAGCCTCCTATAAAGTGCTAAGATTGTCATATCAACTCTATCACAATAAGAGCTAACATTTATAAAGTACTTTAGATCTATTATTTCTTTGACCTTTGCAAAATCCCTGTAAAGTAGGTGTTATCATTATCAACTCTACTTTGCAGATAAGAAAACTATCACTTCATTTTCATTCATGGTTCCTCTCCCATAATGGTGATGTCCCTTTTTGGGGAGCAGGGGTGCTGGGAAAAAACCATCTTACGCCTCCCAATCATTATCCTCATGAATACAGTGTATCCAGGGCTTTGGTTGTGATTGGAGGTACACTTCCACATCTGATCTTTTTAAGTCTTCACATATACCATGATAGCACTTTAAAGCACTTAAATCTTTTATTTAATTTGGTCTTTGCAACAACCTTGTGAAGCAGAAAAGGAGACCCAGAAAAGTTAAGCACTGTGCCAGAGGTCACACAGCTAGGAAGCAGCAGAGCGAGAGTTCATATTCAGCTCCTCTGATTCCAAATCTACACGGCTCTTTCCACTTGACTACTTCTGGGTTACGCATCACTCCAGAAGTGAAGGTCTGTCTTTCCCCTAAGGCGCAGTCTCCTCCTTTGTAAAATGAAAGGCTGGGCTCTATTTCCTCTGAAGGTCTTTCTACTTCTAACCCTCCAGGACTCTCAATAATGATGCTCAGCCCTAACAATGGATGCTAGTATAAAAATCTCTTCCAAATCCTCCTGTTTGTGAGAAGCCAGTTGGAATAAGGACTAGGTTCTGGAGCTAGTAACAGAGAAGCTTCTAAATCTGTTCTTAATAAATTCAGTCAACAAACATTTAAGTGCAAGGCACTGTGTGGAAGGCAATGTGTTAGGCCTTGGGCCTATAAAGAGGAAAAATAAGAAACTTCCTGCCCTCCAAGGGCTTCAAATCTAACAACATAAATGAATGTGATACTAGGCAGTATATGCTAAGGTCAAACAAAGGATGACCACACTCAAATGACTCCCTAGTTATCTGAGGGGGAAGCCAGCTGCCTTGGGCAGTATACATGGATCATCACCACCCCTAAGAACAACTCAAAGCCCACACCTTGCCCTCTAGGTAATGTCACAGATGGGTTCTCATTTGAAGAGGAGAATCAGGGCGTCTCCTTTCTACTATTTTTGCACCCAAATTCGTTAATTGGCAAGCTAATGCAAGTTTCGGGTTCTCCCTGGTGAGGGACCTCTGCATATTGCTGTGGGCATATTATTACAGGACCAGAAAAAGAGAGCCGGAAGGGACTTGAGAGGTGACCTCATCAACTCTCTTCATTGTACAAATGAGGAAACTAAAGCCAGAAGAGGTTAAGGAATTGATCCAAGTTCACACATGTGGCTTTAGCAGTTGGGATTTGATCTCAGCCACACAGAATGGAAGAGAAATGGGTTATTTTGTTTTATTTGCAACCTGGTATCTGTGAACTTACTTTTAAAATATTTTGATAACTTTACTTCAATAATATTGGTTTCCTTTGTAATATTACAGTTTTTTAAAATGCATTTAAAAACATTATTCTGAAAAGGATCCATGACCCCCCCAAAAAACTATAGGATTCCATGTTAGGTACCCTAGAACTGGTAGGATGATTTGGAAAAGATCAGCTTTAGTCTATACCCACAGAGGTCCTCAGTCTGCTTTTATATGGTCTCTTAATTCCTTAAGTAACCCTAGGATTCTGTGGGTCAGCTAGGACTTTGTGTAACTTAATATATTATAGGGTTGACTAGCCTATGGTATTCCATAATTGAGAAGTCAGATAGCTACGGGGAAATGCCTACTGTTACTCCATGGGACATTTCATGGAGAGTAAATTTGCTATCCTCTAATAAAGGTTTTTCCAATATCTCTATGTTTTAAGACTAATCACGTGCATAGAAGTAGAATTATCATCTGGTAGAAAAAAAACCTGGATGAAGAAATCTTAGGGCAAGGTCCTGGCTCTGTCAGTGACTTCTCACTTAATCAATTTCTGTATCATTTTCTTCACACAGAAAGAAGCTGCTACTGATACTTTCATTGTAAAGTGGCCTGAGATTCAGAAAGAGAGCAAGGCTAATTCTTTTTAGAGTAAGGGAGCTGAAGCACAACCCCACTGTACAGTTTTCTGGTAGTATAAGAAAGGCAGGGAAGGGGTAATTAATTGTTCCAGTTCTGACCACAAGCAGAGTGTCTTTGTTGGGAGTTGAGGTATAACCACTATTCTCTCCAATCCATTCTCTGCATAATTGTATTCCTAAATAAAGCACAATCCTGACTGTTACTTTGCTTCTCAACAAATTCCAGGGGCTCCTTATCCACACTAGGAGCAAATATGGACCCCGTCTGGCATTTCAAATTCTTTCTGACGTGGCCCCATCTACCTTTTCAGGCTTATTCTACATCTTTTCACATGCCCTCCAGTCTAGCCCAGATAGTTGTCTTGGTGTTCCTAGCAGGTAACACACCATCTCCTACCTCTGTGGCTTTGTCTAGCCTTTGTTGTGTGCCTGGCATATATTCCTCTCATCTCTGACTTTCAGCATCCCTGGCTTCCTTCAAACCTCAGTTGGAGGGCCACCCCATTCCTGAGCCCCCTAGCTGCTCCTACCTCCTGTAAAATTATATTTATTTTGTTTATACTTATATGTGTACTCATTAGGGGCCCCATTAAAATGTAAGCTACTTGAGGGCAGGGTCACTTTTATCTTTGAATCTCCAAAGCCTAGCAAAGTGCCTGGCATGTATTAGGTACTTAATAAATGTGGCATGCATGGAGGCTACTCAAAATTGGGATTTTCTTGCTCTGTTTTCCAACAGCTGTTTCCTTTGCTGAACAGACTGCTTATCCTGGGACACCCTGGCTCAGTTGTAT